TTTTTTCCGGCTGAGTGGCTTGTTGGTTGAGAGCTGCCTTGGGACGCCAGTTCTGAGCAGCAGGGCCCCGGTTCAGATCCCACATGAGGGCCAGTGACATAGTGATTATTTAAAAGTGTATTGTTTAGTTTCCAAATACTTAGGAATTTTCCTGATATCTTTTCATTACTGATTTCTACTTTAATTCTGTTGTGTCCAGGAAACATACATTGTATGATTTTAATTCTTTTAAATTTATTGAGGTTTGTTTAATGGTCCAGAATATGGCCTATTTTGGTGAAGAGAACATACACGCTTAAAAAGAATGTGTATTCTGCTATTGTAGGGTGAGTGTTCTAGAAATGTCAATTGATTGTCCAAGATTATTTTTATTTTTCCTACTTTTATCATTTGTGGATACATTTCTTATTTAGTAGTAGTAATCTTTAGTTGTGGTATGTTTCTTTTTCAAGCTAAAATACTTTTTTCTTCTAGTTTTAAAGATAATATTTGTAAATTATGGAAAATTGTAACACTTCAGAAAAGAACAAATTTCAAGTCAACTCAGATCCTATCACTCAGAGACAATCATGGTTAACATTGAGTAAGAGAAAATAAGAAGATAACCTTATTCTTTTTGTTTTGAGCCAGCTTCATGGATATCTATTTGTGTCAATAAATAGGACCTACCTCATCTTTAAAATGAGTCCATAATATCTCATAATAGGGATGTACCATAATTTATTTAAGCATTACCTCAAGGAAAAGTTAGGTTGTTTCTGATTTTTTACTGTTATAACCAGTGCTTCAGTGAATACCTTTGTACATCTCCGAGTACATCTGTGCACTTGTACAGCTATTCCCTATAAATGGAATCACCGAAGAAAGGGTATATATTTTAAAATTTTTGGTTAAATTGTCACATCCCTTTCAAAGGAGTTTGTACTAGTTTAACTTTTATGTAATGTACCAGCAGTGCATGAGCAATAATTATTTCTGAAATTTTAATCTTAAAATAATTTATTAGAACACCATTCCACTTGGCATCATGTCTCCTTCCCATTTTCTACTTTGAAAATGCAGTGGCTGCAACAGAATTATGTTCTTGGTATAAAACTCATTGAGTTAATTGCAATCCTTATCCAGACAGAAAATTATAAATAAGAAAATCAAACCATCTACCACCCAATCTAAAATTTAAAATGTGCATGTGAACTTTGGGTTTATAAACATGAGCGACTTAAAGTGAATGGTTGAAAGAAATACTGCGTGTGGGGCTGGTGAAGACATAGCAGAAGTCTCTGAGATCTTTCCCTGGGCTTGTGATGTCAGATGTTTGGCTTTCTTGCTGGGTGTATACCCCGTTTTGTGTTATTGGTAATTGCGCCTTGGGTCCCTGGAGTTTGGGGATAATTTCTGGTAATGAATGTTTCTGTTTAAATCTGTTAGAAATAGAATGATGAGAACATAGTGAACATTTATGAATTGAATATGAAAGCATGAATTTTAAGTTCTTGAAGAGTAGAATGCATTGGCATATTGCTTTCATGCTCCTTTTTTTAATATCCTTATTTCTCATGTTTTAAACTTACTAGCTTTCTCTTTTCTCTCTAAGAAGCAGAAACTTGTGAAACAGTTGCCTTTAACTTCAATTTGCTTAGAAACAGATTCGCCTGCCCTAGGACCTCAAAAACAGGTAAATGATTTTCTGATTTCTACAATATTTAGATTGTATCTTTCATTTGAGCCATTTTCAAGGTAACTGTGTTTTCGTTACAGTGTAAATACAGTGAAATCCTATTTTAATGCTAGGTTGAGAGGTTATATTAATTTTAGGTCTTTTCTAAATAGTTGTTGTGCCCCAAGAAATATTATTTGATATGGGCCATTTCCTAATTTATATAATAATGAGAGCCAGACCAGTGTAGCAAAAAGCTCAGTGTCTAGAGTCAGAAAGACCTGGATTCAAATCCTGTCTCGCTACCCGTGAGCTGTATGAACTTGGACAAGTTATTAATCTGTCTGAAACTGTTTATTATAATGTAGGCAAAATAATTATAAAATACTTTAAAATATTATAGTGAATGAAATAATGTATATGAAGTGCTTAGCGTGTCTGGTATATGGTATATGCTCAATAAATGTTTATTTTTTTCTTTTAATTAGCATAATGAGGCTCTATTTTTTTCCAGTATAAGCATTGGTATAGTCATAGATTTTTTTTTTTTNGCTGCTGGCTACACACGGTAGCCCATGGCAACCCACTGCCACAGGGGCTGCAGCCTACGCCGTCACCGTCGCCGGCGACTCAGGGCAGCCCAGTTCCAGGTTGAGCTGTTGTTCAGCATCTTAGCTGTGGAGGGCAGTGTCACTGGCCTTCATATGTGGGATCCGAACCGGGGCCCTCTGGCATCCCAAGCCAGTTCTTAACCATCGCGCCACTCGGCCAGCCCAATAATGATGCTTTTGAAATGGAGTTCTACATTTCTTTTTGTCTGAATTACTTTAATAGAACAAAGATAACGTTACCATATTAAGTCCTTAAAAGGAATTTTTTGTCATTAAACAGAAATGTTCACTCACGTTCTGCTGGAAGACCCACCATCAACCTCTTAAATGAGCAAGGTATTTAGGTTCCTGAGACAAATGTGCCTAATGTTTAAGTTTGGCAATTCCAGTCCATATTCTCATAGAACAACCCATGTTTTAACTTGATTTCTTAAAGGGAGGGAAATGGGGCAGGGGTAGAGGTGGAAATCGACGAAGGTGATTTTGCAAGTCAGCCAACTGTTTACAAGGTTTTCAGTGTGATTATGATATTCATCAGGCCAGGATAAAGCAAATGAAAAATTGGATCAAATAACTTTATTTCTAAAGTAAAAATATACTTTATAGCATTACTTTTCAAACTTTTCAAAGTGCCATCCACAGTAAGAAATATAATGTGAGACTCAGTATATACACATATATACTTTTTTTTTTTGTATTAAGACTTTTTTGAGACTCAGTACATACACATACAGAAAACTGACAAAAGTTTAAGAAGCAGTACATTTATGCGTATTGTGTATAGGCATATATTGAACAACACCTTTGTTGTTCAACTTGATTAATGGAAAAAGCTCTCATTAAGGAAATAAAATGGAACTCTCTTTTATTTTTGAGAGGTGCTGACAAAGTGCTGCTACATGCATTTGACGGTCGGCCATCGGTAGCCATGGAAGGAGTAAAAGCTGGGTACTTCTTCTCAATCCCTCCTTCTATCATAAGAAGTGGACAGGTAAATTCTTTCATTCAGCCTCATGTTACACGTGGTGAAATACATTTTAAAATATGAGCTTTTATTACATATTTTTTGTTTGTTTTTTAAATTGGGGAATTGGGGGAGGGGAACAGTGTTGGGGAATTGGGGAAGGGGACCAGCCAGGTTGTTTTTCTTCAATCTTATTTGTGGAAGGCGCCAGTCGCCATCTGGCTGCCGTTGGCAGCTCTTGGGCTGTAAGCTCAAGGTGCTGTGTTCAATCTTAGTTGCGGGTGGGCGTAGTCACCATCCCATGCAGGAGTCGAACCAGCAGCCTTGTTAAGAGTGCACGCTCTATTATTACATACTTGTGATACTATTCTAGTTACATTCAAAAATTAATCTCAGGTCACTACTCCTTATGCCAGTATTATACTATCATGATTACATGAGATTTACCATAAGTTGAAATCAGGTAGTATGAGAATTCCAATTAGCTCTTTGTGTTCAAAATCATTTTGGCTATTCTAAGTTCTTTGCTTTTCCATCTGTATTAGAATCAGTTTAATGATTTCTACAAAAAAAAAAAGCTGGGATTTTTATTGGGATTACATTGAATCTATAGATCAGTTTGGGGATAATTGATGTAAACACTATCTTTTTTTTTTTTTTTTTTTGGCTGAGCCATCTGTTGGTTGAGAGCTGCCTTGGGACGCCAGTTCTGAGCAGCAGGGCCCCGGTTCAGATCCCACATGAGGGCCAGTGACATAGTGATTATTTAAAA